GAGTAGCGTCCTGGCGGGGCGGGAGGAGCTCCTACCCAGCTCGGGCTTCCCGGGAGGGGGGTAGGAAGGGGAGGCGGAATCTGTTCAGGTCGGTGCTGCCGGCTCCCCCCACCCACCCCCGCTTCCCTCCGCTTTTTCCTTTCTGCTTTCGCGAGAAGGAGGGGCAAGTCGGCCCTCTCCTCCCCTTCTCCCCACGCAAGCCCGGGTCACTTTTGCTGCCTCGAAACTTTCCCACCACGTGGGCGCCCAGGACCCTTGCCCAGCTGGGCGGCCGACCGCACCGACGGACTTGAGGAGCAAGATCCAGGCGTTCGCTTCGGTCCGTCGCTCCCTCCCCGCAGCCGCGCAGGCCCTGCAGGAGGGGCAAGTCGGCCCTCTCCTCCCCTTCTCCCCACGCAAGCCCGGGTCACTTTTGCTGCCTCGAAACTTTCCCACCACGTGGGCGCCCAGGACCCTTGCCCAGCTGGGCGGCCGACCGCACCGACGGACTTGAGGAGCAAGATCCAGGCGTTCGCTTCGGTCCGTCGCTCCCTCCCCGCAGCCGCGCAGGCCCTGCCGCTGTCCCAGCTGCCACTCTTCCCGACTCTCCCCCCCGCCGCTACGGCCGTCCCCGGTCCTCCAGGAGCGCTCCCTCGCGGGCTGGTCTAGCCAGGCGGAGGCAGCACGGACGCCACCGGCAGGCTCTGCTGATGGATGTGTCTCCCGAGCTGCAGTGCCCTCTCGGAGGACCCAGGGTCGCCTTAGCACAGGGTGGGGCGGGAGCATAGCGGCCTGGAAGGCAGGGGAGGTGGCATTCGCTGGAGGCATGGCCAGCTGCTGCCTCCACTGGTGCGGAGCTCGGAGGAACGCTTCGATTGTGCAGGGGCCCAGCCTGATGGCTCGGAGACCTCTGAGCCCCAGGACTTGTCTGGCTGGAGGGGTCACCAGCACCTACCCACACCAGCCCCCGCCTGTGTCTGCCAACTGGCAAACCTTGGGCTCTGCAAAAGCCAGGTCCTAGGTGGGGCTCGACCACTGCTGGTTTTGTAGGAATGACCTTGGACTGAGACCTCACTTTTCTCGTTTCTACCTCCTCGTAGTAAAGGAAGATAGTAACACCTACATCGACTGGGCTGCGTGGGAGAACCCAACGAGGCAACTGGGTCAAACCTCTCACTGAACCCCTAAAGAATAGATCTCAGAGGCACCCTTCTTGTGCCGCCAGCTAAAAAACACTGTGGAGATTTGACTCCCAACCTGGTCCAGAACTTCAAGTTCAATCCACCCTTCTGTCCCTTATGCCCTGCCTGGGTCTGGGACGGTAAGGCAGAGCCCACCGCGCTCAGTGCTGGGGGCCAGGAACACGGCCCCGCCCTCGCCCCCTCCCCTCTTTGGAGCAGACCCACGGCCACCACGCCCCGCCCCGCAACTGGCGGGACTGTGAGGCGGAGAGGCATGGGAGGTTATTCTGGCTTTCCTGAGATATGGGGCAACTGGGATGACTGAGGCGGAGTGTGGCCGCCAGATGCGAGTCCTGCTCCCGCACCCCATCGCGAACCTCTCCTGCTAGCCCTGCCGCTGTGCAGCTCTGTCCGGACCGCAGCCCCACCGAGGCCTGCAAGTCTGGAGGCCGAGCGCCCCCTCCCTCCCAATCCGAGGAACCGACTCAAGCCCGCGGGGCAAAACTATGGCCAGTCTGCCAACCGGAAGTTAGAAGCAGGGACAGGGAAGATATCTGAGATGGCAACTCTCTACCTCCTTTAGGACCTTCCAAAGAGCACGATTCTCTTCTCCCCTCGGATTCCCTCCTTGCCCTGTCCAGGAGCTTGTGATCCTTGGGCGGGAAGCAGTTGCTTCTTGCCTCCCCATCAACCTAGGCCAGTACCTCCTGCACCTGCAGTCTCTACAGTCCAGCCCAATCACCTCTTTTGTGAAGGCTTCCTGCCTTTTTTTGTGTCCCAGTTTTTCCTGCTGAGGCCCATCCACAGTGTCTGAATACCTCCTCACCTGTTCATGTCCTGCCCAGGGTCCAGGCCTCCTGGGTCCTGTCTAGTGCTAGACCTGACAGATGACCAGGGAGAGAGTTTATTGAAGGAGTCAGCTGATTGAAATAGAGAGGTCATTAAGCCAATGAAGGGTTTTCACACCCCTCCACTCCCCAGCACAAGCCCTCCCTGTAGTGTTTCTGGCTTGCCAGCTACTACCCTTATTGCCAGCCCCACCTGGGAAGGGAGGGAGGGTGGTTAGGGCTCCCTGCCTTCAGGAAGGTGCAGCATCTTGCCTATGGACTTGGCAACAGGGAGAGGCAAAGACCACCATGTCCTAGCAGGTGGGCAGAGAAAGAGGAGGCCGGAAAGAGGGTCGCACTTTTCTCCCCTGGTGGAGGAGCTGTCAGCCCCGCTGCCAGTCATCTGCTGGGAGGGAACTGGGTCAAGCGGTAGTCAGGAACCATCTGCTCGAGAAGCTGGGATTATCCCGCCCTCTGCTGATCCCCCAGCCCACGGGAGCCAAGGGTGTAAATTGAGTTCTTCCAGATCACCTTGTGCTTTTGGTGGGAGAGAGCACCCCATTCCCTCCTGAGAGACAGGGCCTATTCCTGTTGCTTCAAGACCTCCTTTAGCATTAGGCTCTGTTCTTATACTGGTGACCTCAGCCTTCAGTCTCAGCCAGGAATGTGACTGTGCCTGTCAGTTTTGAATACAATAATGCACATCCGTGCTCTAGCCAACGCCCTCCACATGGGCTGCAGGACCAGGCCACCCTCATACATGTGCTGGCTCCCTGCTGCCATCAAGGAACCCCAGCCCATTGGAGAAGGCAGGAGGGAAATGTGACAACCCTGTCGATTCGGGCACACAAGAGACAGAGGAGGGGTCCTCCAAGGAGCTCAGAGCACTCGCTCTCTGTTTTTTGTTTTTTTTTTCTTTGCACAGCCCATTGCTAAGCGTCAAATGGGGATGACAAAAATGTCCCAAAGTGACAAGGCCAGTCATAGAAAGCAAGTCAATGCTCATTTGCAGAAAGAATTGAGAGCCCAGGTGCCTTTGGTGGCCACACAATCCCTGCAGAGTATGGGGTAAAGAGAGGCCTTCACACCAGTTGGCACTGGGGACTTGTGCTGGAGAAAGGCCTGTGGCAGAGTTGGGTCCAGGGACCTAGCGTTCACTTTTCCGCCACCAGCCCAGAAGTCACTATTGCCAAACATCACCACCATGCAGTGCCCTTCTCTAGAGCAACTCAGTGTGCATGGAAGGACTTGCATACCAGGCCCAACCCAGTGTCCTGCCCAGCCCAATACAGGAGATGAACAGCCTGAGCCTGGAGCCAGGGGCAAAGGAGGATCCATGTGAGGGTGTCTCCAAAGGACAGGGGCCAGGCTGACCCTTGTAAAAGCTCAGATATCAGCATGGGGCCTCACTGAACACCCCAAGGCCACCACTTGCCTTTAAGGTCACAGAGACAAGTTCTTGATGAGAGAGTGGGCGTGGGGGGTATTTTGATAAGACAGCTTCATATTTATCACTGGGGCAGCTGGACAGCTCCCATCTCCTGGGGGCCCCTGTGGCTGTCTACATCCCGGAGTCCCACTGTGGCCTCAGAGAGGCTGCCTGCCACTGAACGTCCATGTGCTCCCAGGGCAAAGAGCTGCTACACTGTCCACTACAACTGCCCAACACCCTGCACAGTACCTGCCTCGTGAGTGCTTCTGAACAGGAAGGCACCGGCACATGGATCAGACGAAGCTACTGAGGTGCCGTGACCCTGTGGATCATCAGTAGACCTAGGACTTCAGCCTGCACAGAAGACCAAGGGTGTGCGCCCCCTCCCCAAGGCGTAAGCATAGTAACGGGCACATCCCACCTTCCCATTCAAGTTCTTAGCCAGACTTTAACACAAAGCCATTTTGTAGGGTTTCTCATCTATTTCATTACTTTTTTTAAAAAAATGAATTATTTATTTAATTTTACTTATTCATTTGTTTTCACTTGACCAGAGAAAGACAGGCATAGAGAGAAGCAAAGTGAGAAAGCAAGCCGCCAGATCTGGGACTTGAACCATGGTTGGCCGTGTGGGAGTGTCCAGCACCTTAACCACCACACCACCTTTCATTACTTTTGAACTGACTGCTTCAGCTCTGGAACCCCTGAACTCTATTGCTTGTTAGCAAAAACCATATGCGGGACTTCAAAAGCTTATAAAAAAATTATGAAGTATAAGTTTATTTTGGTGTAAAAAAATAAAATCCATGGATTGTTTTTCATGATGTGTATTTTTATTTTCTTACATTGCCACAGGGCATGTGTGCTCACCAAAAAGAGAGAGATGCAGAAACAGAGAGGGAGTAAATACCTCCAATGAGGTGTGGCCATGCTGCTACCCCTTCCTCTGCAGCTCTCCATCCTGTTGGGACTTGGGGCATGCACACACATGTGCCCAGTGTGTTTATCACGCTGCCAGTCCAGAATTCAAACCACAGTTGGCCATGTGGGTTCTGCTTCCCTTTAACCCCAGGCTGTGGGGCCAGCCCATATAACATGGATCTTCTGTGAACTTTTCTAAGACTGCCTTGTACAAATTGTGTCTGGGCCTCATTCTCAGGAAGCCTGGGGACCGGAGAAGGCGCCACCTTGAAAGAACAGTCCTCCACTTCACCAGGCAAGGGCTGGGGGCGGGGTGCTGAAGGTTGTGTGAGAGTGGGGTTTAACATGTCTTGAACTCTCCAGAAATATTTCAACAGCAGGCCCCATGAGGATGGCTGTCCATGTTGGTGTATTTTCTAGAAAAAAATAGAGGTGCTAAATACAACAGTTGGTTAGTGGCCCACTTCAAGTTGCTAATCACAAACCATCCCTAGCACAGAATTCCTTCCCGTTCATTCAGTAAGCACAGAGTGTGTCCTTCGCTGGGGATAGAGAAGTGCGAAGTCATGGTCCCTGGTGCCCCACCTCTCAGTCTACTGGGGACACCTGGGATAAAGCTGAGGGGGCAAGGGACCTAAATCTGCCAGGAGCATTCCCAGGGAGGCAGGATGTGACGTGAGCCATGAAGTGTGAGGAGGCATCTTCCACATGGACGTGAGAGAGAGAAGATAGTCAAGGACAGTGCTAGCGCACTGGTCAAGGGAGGAAAACGAGGTTTGAATCCCTGGCCTGGTCAGCCTGAAGCACGTGTGTGAGTGTCCGAGACCTGGCAGGCTGGAGGGCTGAGGTGAGGGGTTTGAGGCATGGCCAGCCCCTATGTAGGGTCTCTCCTCTCTCTCACTCCCTCTCACTTTCCATGTGCATGCACACACTTTATTGTGAACTTCAAGAAATTACAACCAAAAAAGTGAGTGCCCATGTGATGAACCCAGGGAAGTTCAGTATGGGCTGGATGGAGGGGGGAGGGGGCCAGGGAGGCTCTGGGTAAGTTGAAGAGGGCAGGTGACTCCTTGCAGGGTGCCCTGGCAGGATCGGCAGCATTGCAGTGGACGCGAGACTTAGCCTATTGAGACGAGGGCCAGAGGGAAGGCGGTGGTCATGAGGACCAGAAGGGATGAAAGAGAAGTGGAGTCCAGGGTGCCCTGGCAGGATCAGCAGCATTGCAGTGGACGCGAGACTTAGCCTATTGTTGAGACGAGGGCCAGAGGGAAGGCGGTGGTCGGTGGTCTGGTCGTGAGGACCAGAAGGGATGAAAGAGAGGTGGAGTCCTTACGTTAGGACGCCAGGGCTGGTGGGAGACGGGAAGGCTGAACACGAGGAGCTGTGGCCCCCCTCGCCCCATTTCTGTGCTGGGAGTTGCTTGAACAGCTCCCAGATGCCTATTCGTGGCTGAGAACCCACTGAGCTGGTTGTGTTGGAACTAATGAAGGAAAACGGGAGTATTCCCAAACTTTCTTTGCTAGTACTTGGAACCCCAGTACCAGCCTCCCCTTAAATAGCATTCCTGGGGCCTCAGCTGTTCTTGAACTT